AAACGACACAGATCTAAACGTGTAGCATAGGCGATACAAATTCAATCATGTTGACAATAAGTTCTCTCTCAATTCAAAAAGAAAAATCCGAATTTTTCATATATTTGTTTGGGAATAATCCGTTTCCCGAACGATCCTGTAAATATTTGCAATAGTAATAACATTTATTTTTTGTTATTGAAATCCTACGCCCTAGAGGAACAACTTTTTTTTGTATGTTATTGTAGTGAAATTATATTTGGCCGCTGTCGGTGTTGTTGTGTTTCAGGCAGTGGGGGGAAAAGACAGAAGGAAAACCAAAACTGCTCTGCACAAATCAATAATGTGTAAATAAACAGCAAGTGCATGTGAGATTTATAGTTTGCTTTTGACTTGTAGACTACATTTGATTGATTTCTGAAATTTCCCAGAAGACCCGATAGTGCAATAGCTCTATATTCTGCAGGCCAAACATTTTGAGTATCATATGTGCAAGAAGAACGAAAACGAAAATTGTTTATTTTTCATTTAAATCCGTGTTTGCATACTTTCTGATTTTAACTTTATTGGTTCTCGATTGTTGACGAATAGACTCATTGTATGAAGATATAACAAAGAGGCTGAAGACACGATGAAGACATTCTCGCTTAATGATCAATCAATGCATAATGCATAATAGGAAGATATATAGAAGAGGCTGAAGACAAAAAGAAGACATTCTAAACTCATAACTGGAAATTAAACTGACAACACACCAGTTCAGTATAATTATTGTCATACCTGGCCCCAACATGCAAGTTTCTGTCTCGAAATGGTAAAATATCTATTTTGAAGTATACAAATCATACATAATTTGAATCTGTTTTAATTGTACGAATAATTTACTTTTCAGATGTTTCATAATGATCAACCAAATCATAATGACGTCCGTTAATCGTTTGAAAAAAAGAGGCGAAAAATACCAAAGGGACATTCAAACTCATAAGTCGAAAATATACTGACTACGCCATGACTAAACAGAAAAAAGACCAAAAGACAAACAGCAGTACACGAAACACAACATAGAAAACTAAAGACTGAGTAACACGAACCCCCAACAACTTGAGTGATCTCAGGTCCACCGGAAGGGTAAGCAGATCCTGCTCCTCATTCGGCACCCGTCGTATTGCTCATGTAAGTTCAAACCCGGTGATAAGTCTAATTCGGTAGGTCACATTCGGGGAAAAGAGGATGGGCTTGTGGTTACGACAATTGGAAAAAGTAAAATAACAAAAATACCGAACTCCAAGTTAAATTCAGAACGGAAAGTCCCTTACCAAAGGGAAAAATCAAATGCTCAAACACATCAAACGAATGGAATACAACTGTCATATTCCTGACTTGGTACAGGCATTTCCGTATGTAGAAAATGGTTGATTAAACTTGGTTTTATAGCTGAGATATCCGTCCTCATCTGTCAAATAGATATTCCATAACAGTCAACCAACTCGTGATGGCGTCCTTAAAATTTACGAAGAGATGATTTCAACTTCACCAATTGGAACTCATGGTTTAATAGCTTCTTATGAGCAGCAACCCTATATCAAGGACATCATGATAGGAAATACAATTATGAGTTTGAAATCGGTATATTTTACCTCTCTTTTGAAACCATTTCTGTGTTATAAAGTTTTGTTACCAACCGACATCCATTGTCAATTTTTACATTTAATTCAAAATATTTGTCAGACTTATTTGAACCTGTGTATCGTCTATTTCAAGTTCGATTGGATAGATGTGTTCAACATATCTAGCATACTTTGAATCATTTAGTGAGAAAGCATCATTTAAATAGCAGAACATAAAGGTACAGGAAAAAGAGCTGTTTTTATTTTTACGAAAAGTTCCTTTATGGCGTTGGCCTCATTTGAATAAGGGAAAAGTCGGCAAAAAAGAGGAACACAGTTGGTTCCAATTGAAATGCCGGTTGTCTGAGGAAAAGGACGATCTCCAAGAGTAACAATATGCTTCTTTTGTATTGCAATGAGTATAAATTAAACGTCAGTAGGAAATGTATCGAAAAGGAGAATATTACTCGCTGAGGCAGCATCATACCGGACCAAAAAAGGATTCAAAACTTGTGATAAATGTAATCACACTCGGTATTCCAAAGAGTAAACCCCATATGTGAACACCTTAATCTCAGCTTCGGAATCAGTCATCATTAATATCCCAGTAAACGGAATGTACAGATAAATGATCTAGTTTACCTGATCAAATTTAGCAAAAATCAAGATTGTTTTGTCTTCAACATGTTCAATAAATATCTTTTTATCGTAAATTTGTCCTTAGCATCATGAAGTATAAATTGATGACAGTTAAATGTTTAAAATATTTTTGACATTGTACGAAGCACGAGTTTTAGGTAGATTCAAAATTTATCTTTACAAATTAAAACTACTTTTAAAGCACATTGCATTGATTTCATTGATAGGACTACTTGCACTTCTATTGCAAGCATTTGCAACTGTTTGAATGAATTTGACACAGCGCAATGTTAATGCGATTTTTACTTGAACAATTGAGATATTAAGGGATATAGCTCCACATATGTATCCTTTTGTTTAAAGGACAATTTAGACAAATTTGAATAGCTGTTAGTATATGAGCACTTAAAATACAATATAAACCGACAAAAATACTAAAAATATATGGATTGTTGAATTTTCAATGTGCAATGGTAAACCACAAGATACAATGTCTTCATGGCGAATAAAGGGGCATAATCAAAGTATTAGCAAATACGATGCTAGAACTGGTTTGTATTCGTCAAATTGATTCAAATGAATGTTTGAAAGCCAAAAATGGTAGAATGTCTCCTTTTGTGGTAAAGCTGTAGAAAATTTGGCAATTGTTCTCAAGTTTACATTTTGTAGTGTCTCAAACTGACAGCACAACCTTTATGATTGTATCGTCTTATTTCAATTGAGACGTACTATGCCGGTCTAAGCTCAGATGGCAAATAAAAAGTTATTAAAAGTGATAAAGTACTGGTAAGCATTATATTTTATCAAACAAACTATTAACTGTACCTTATGGTATTTATGCGATTGACATAACAGTAAATACATTTCAGGATGTGAAAAACTTTTGAAAACTATTGCTATGGATATTATATAATTGTGCTGATTATTCCGAACCAACAATTTCAATTAAACTCTACATTTAATATAGATTTTTACATTGATACCAGTGGATTATCGAATTTATCCAATCGAGATAGTTTAAAAATTTATAAGTCAGAGCATCGGAAAAGACTTTAAAATTCGATAATTTAACTATCGAGATCGGATAAATCCGATAATCCACGAGTTACTATTAAAGAATCTGTTTATCTAATGATTATCAAATAAATTTTCTTTTTGATAAACGAAAATCCCCTTCGAGTGCCTTCCACAAATCTGATTTGTACGTCATATACTTACGAAATTGATGCATCTTTGGATCCAATGGAAGCAAACATTAATAAAAACTACTTTCAATCAAAAGCAGTGCATTTAATAAAATATATATTCATATGTAATAATAAACAACTTGAGCAGCGTTTTTTAAAGTTTTTATACGTAGTTAAAGTTTTTAAAAAATGTCAATTTTTCTAACAACTGTTGGCACATAATGGGCCAAGAAAGGGTTAAATTGCACACGAATTAGAGAAAACGGGTTCTTAGATTTCCTGCGGTAACAAGTATCAGAAATGTTTAGAGTTTTGATAATTTCAGTTCCAATGCACTCTTAGACAACAGATACTTTTTTCGAAATGCATTGACAGGTTCTTTTCATATGGTAATTGAAAGTTCTCATTAGATTTTTCATGCATATAGTTATCTGTTAAAGTATACTCGAAGAAATATACTTTTACATTGTATTTAAAATTGATGATTTGAAGCGATAATATATTCATTGCCTTTAAGTTTCAATATAAGATAAAAACTATAAACTTGTATTGACTTAATGAATGGGCGCACTACAAGCATAAAACAAAACCAACAACAAGAACATACTAAAAAATCTGATTCGCACATCTTAAATGTCTTTGCACAGAACACTCCCAAACTGATTGTGATGATTAAATAGACTTTTGTAACATTTTATAACAGATTTGAGTTATTGTTAATATCTATACACGAGAGAAATAAACAACAAATATTATCAGACTCTATGAAGATTCAAAAAATGAAGATATTTTTTTCAACTATTCAACTCCTTCATTTAACTCTCTTTACTAACAGATTAAGTTTTATAAGTCACACATATGTTTTGGATAAACAACTGGTCCTCATTGGACATAATCGATCGATTCAAATAATGTGTGTTCACTTAATTTAATCAAGCTATGGAAATTTCCAGGAATATCACCAAGAAATGTATTCCTCGTATTGGTGTAAACAGAAGATGAACATCTTCCTCTATTGAGATGATGAATAGAATTTTAAATTCATTCTGATCTGGGTTAAATAAACAAAAAAAAACGTTGGTATTCTTCAGACTTTCACATCGACCTTTCAATGCAGAGACTTCTATTGCCTAATCTGAATAAAAAAGTGTAGACCGTTATTTTTTTTTATATAAAGATAACTCTTAAATTCAATAATATTGCCTTGAGTGTTAATTATGATTTTAGTTTACAGTGGTCACCATGATTATATGAAACGTTAACACTTTCCAAGTATTTAAGATTTTCTTTAATTCTCCTTTTCCCTGACTTTATCTTTATTAATTATTTTCCAAATAAATAGGGCTAGATTAAACTTGTCACTTACATATACTATTTGCATAAAAAGAATATTCTGTGGTTGTATTTCTAAATCTTCATTCTTTATAAGCACTATTAAGAAGGTTGGAAGATATTATCTAATATAATTCCAAATTATCCATTCATGATAGCGTTTGACATACTTGTCAGAATCTACGATTTGAATATATTTTTAGTTTCTTACAAGATTTTCCTCTGGACATTGAGCAAAGTATATAATCAACTCAAATTTTAGTTATTTGATTCACGTTTATCAATTTTATTTTTGAAAACATATGAGTTCAAAATAAAAAAAATGATGTTACTGATTTAATTTAATCCAACTATATGTCTTTAACCTCATGGAATTCCACTTCAACATGACTGTAATTTGAGGCACCATCAACTACAAATCGTTCAGGTTCCATCTTTGTTCCAGTAACATGATCATAGTTGTTTTCCTCTTCACCTGCATTCGCAATACTGCGCATGGTGTCATAGTTGCTTTCTGTAGGATTGTGGGTCTGACTAAGTCGACAATGGTCCATGTGGTCGTATGTATCGTCGGACGCAGCTGGTTGAGATCTTTGGCTTGACATGCTTTTTTCACGTTTAACGGTCGGCTTGTTTACTTGTGCATAAACTACTTCTTTTCCGACATTAGCCATTGGTTGGTCTGATACTGTAAATTGTGTGGTTCTCTTTCTGAATAATTTAAAAAGAACATAATTGTATGTATGCACTAATTATGTTTTTATCATAATTTTGTACAATAGGACAACCAATAAACGTTACGAAATGTGGTTTACTGATGATTTTTTTTTAAAAGATAAGTTATGATTCAACATCTTTATAATGCTACCGCATGTGCCTGTTGAAATTCAGGGACCGATTAAGACATATGTGAGTATTGAAATGAATAACGTTATTGATATTTTCACTGAATGGAAATTCTAGGATAAGTTTTGATTTAACATATGAAACAATAATCTATCTAACTTTCTATATTGAATGAAAAAGAACAGAACATTTACTAAAAAACAGCTTCCCTCACACACATACATTTTAGTTCTTCATCAACCTTATGAATGCCCCTCATTTTATCATATATTAGATTTGATAGTTTAATAATTTCTTCAACGATCTAACTTTTAAAACTAAAAGTAAAGAAACATGTCATCAACAAAACATACTTTCTATCTATGTTTTTATGATTGATTGATTGTTGGTCGTTTAACGTCCTACGTATTTATATCCACGACAGCTAACATGCTAACCTGATATGAGTAAATTAATCATGCATAGAAATATTCTTGTGCATCCACCTATGTAGACTAGGATCTGCTTACTATTTTGAGCACCCGAGGCCACCCAAGATGTAATATTTCTTTTTTTAGGGGGTGGATTGGGTGTTTTGTTAATTAATCTTTAGTTAAGCATTGTTAAGTTATGGTAGGGTTTGTAACTTTGCTGGTCATCAAACTGTTCGTTCTATTTTTATTCTTTTGATCGATGTGCAGACTTTCTTCAATTAAAGGTTTCCCTGCCATTGGTGTCTTCTTTCCTTTTTGAAACAGTAAAATTAAGGATATTATTGTATACAGAAAGAAACCAATCTATGTGTGATGAATTTTATTTGTAGGATCAAGACTTTTACGTTTACGTTTTGCAATTTCATCTAGTTTGGTATGGACGGGGATTGTATTTTTTTCCCCGATTGATCTGTATATGCAACTATCATAATTATGATATATGAATCAAAATCATCAAAATGTAAAAATATTTCCATGGTTTTTCCATTAACCACTGCAGGTATTTGAAAAGTCACAGTAATTCATTTTCATGCATGATTAGTTTTGTTAGAGTAGACAACACCCATTGTATTCTACATGTATTAGATAATGTGTTTAAGTAATACGTATAGAAATAACAAAACTTGATTAGCAGAGAAGGCACCAGTGTTTTTCATTACACATGCGTGTTGTTTTATATATATAATGTAGCTGTGCTGTGTTATCTTTAAAAAAGTGCATAGAAACCAACAAATTATTGGTTTTGAACTAAAAACTGTAATTCAAACTTTATAAATGTTAATAGTGATTAGAAAAAATGAGCAAACGTAAATTAATTTACTGTACCTTTTACAAAAGACAACAGTTACTGATATAACGATGATTGTCAGGATTACTGCAGCTATTATAGCAATAATAACTATTACTGCAAATAGTATAAATTGATTTAAAATAATACATCAACCCTTTTTTAACAAAGAATTTGTTTTCTTTTACATTTTCATTTTGGTAGCAGGACCAGCATGATTGTTAATTTGTATGCATATGTAGAACAGGGTTGAAGTACTCCTTTTTGTGTACACATACACACTTTTTTTGGTAAGAATTTATGCAGTGTTGTTCTCCCTTTGTGCATGCTATAGCTATTTAAACCGACTGTGGTGTGTAAAGATCAAAACCAACTTGTATGCAAAACTCAGGTTGAAAATGATGAACTGAGCTAAATATGAACTAACTAATCGGACTGTATAGTGCATGGGTAAAATCATAGAAATTCTTACAGATGATAGTACCATTTCAAGAAAGTTTAAAACTTTTTATTTGAAATTTTATTAAGAATCGATAATTTTGGATTTCTACAGGTGAAGATGTGACAAGAACAGTATTTGACCCACATATCAAAATCTATTTTTCAAGATTGAATAGCGTTTTAAATCAGTGTACATGTTGAAAATTGCCAAAGAAGGCTGTTCGTATATATCGTTAATATGCACATCTGAAATAAATCAAAAGAAGAGATTCTGTTGAAATGTATACACTCATCTGGATTTCAACCAAATTGAGGCCAGGGAAAATTAAAGCGCATACTTAGACAAACTGAAAATTCAGATTTGTTATTTGTTAAACCATACAAAGTGTTAAAAGATTTTTTTGTCGGCGCATGCAGTATATGTTTCTGGTACTAAAATCTAATGAATTTTAACCAGTTTTCATTGAATTTTCTGAGTTTTATTGTGCGTATTGCTGTGTGTTTGTTTATTTTACATTGGCTAGAGGTATAGGGGGAAGGTTGAGATCTCACAAAACATGTTAAACCACGCCGAATTAATGCGCGAGTCCCAAGTCAGGAGCCTCTGGCGTCTGTTAGTCTTGTATGTTTTTTAATTTTAGTTCATTTATATGTTTCGGAGTTAAGTGTGACGTCCATTTTCACTGAACTAGTACACATTTTTGTTTAGGGGCCAGCTGAAGCCCACCTCCGGGTGAGTGATTTTCTCGCTGTAATGAAGACCTATTGGTGGCCTTGGGCTGTTTTCTGCTCTTTGGACGGGTTGTTGTCTCTTTGACACATTTCCCATTTCCATTCTCAATTTCAATTTTAAATTTGAAATTTATGGTAATCAACGTTGATGATGTAAGAATGACAGATACGTATATTTAAAGATAAACCTTATACTATGTTTTGACAAAAAATCATAATTCTTAGAATATCGCAAAAGACTAGTCAAATCATAATCCTAAAAAAAGATTTTAAATATTTTTGGCCGACTAGTAAGGTGTCAGAATGAAAATTTCTGCCAGTATCAGGACGAGCCCAATAACCAAGAAAAGACTATTTATAACAAAAACAAGACAACTTATGAGTGAGTCTGTATTTACCACCGTCTGACCCCGGAACAGCCGTAGAAGATTCAAGTAGAGCTGAAGATGTAGTTTCTAGAAATCCTGGAGATTTTGTTTCCTGAAATCCTGGAGATAATGTTTTCTGCAATCGCGGAAATAGGGTTTCCTGCATACCATAGAGTGTTGTTTCCTGCAGAGCTAATGATGTCGTAGATTCAACTATAGATACGATTGTACTTTTTGGTAGGCGAGAGAACGCTGCTATTGTTGGACCTGGCAATGTACTACTTTGAAGAAATGGAGAAGTATGTATACGTCGACTCAAATGTTTTGTATTTTGTGACAGTGTAGAAGACGTTACTGATGAAGCCCCGGATGAAGCCTTTCGAATTCCAGTACATAGCCCTGGTAGTTTGTCTCTACATTTGCGCAGAATTGTTTCTACAACACCATTTTGTTTTATTTTGGCAGCAACACAAAAATAAGGTCTTTTTGTATATTCTGAAAATAAATTTCAAATTTAGATTTTACTTTTGAGCAGATATAATTGTCTGTATAATAGTCTTTATACTGATCACATGGTAATAACTTTTATATTGATATCTTCATGGTCATCTTCATCGGTATACAATAAAGAGAAACATTCAAAATAAATCTTTGTATATATCAAATAATTTAGTAACGGTTTTGTTGCAAAATGTTGTAACGAAAACACTTAATAAAGAAGTGTAGCATGTAGATGTGGTACCATGCAGATTAACTGATTGTTTTTGTAGTAAAAGATGAGGATACATGTACTTATCATGCAATCACATCACTATTCTTTAATGATAAACGGTTAACTATGTCACAACTTTACGAAAGACGATGCATTGATTTGTAAACAAATACTGTAGAAGGCAATTTGTTCAGCCGAAATATTTGTCTAAACGATTTAATTACATCTTGTTCGTATAAAACTATAATCTAATATCGGTATCGATTCACAAATCTAACGACTTATGAATATATGTACAGATATGTATAGATCTCGAAGTCTATAAAAAGGGCCTACCAGCAAATTGTACCGGATCGTCTAGAATAGACGAAACTGCGCAGATAAAGAAAACATCTAAAAAAGTCTAAAGAATTAGTACCGTTGTGCAAATCTAAATCTTTAGACTTTTATAGATATGTATATATATATATATATATATATATATATATATATATATAAGTGCCTATGAATAGCAGCACATGACATACAAATCTATGGGAGTGTGGATTAATCAGTACAGAAATTAATTCAATTACACAAATAAAATTATAGATTGCCTAACAATGTAATTTTAACACACTATTTAGTATGTAAATATAAGAATGTTTAAAAAATTTACAAAATGATGAAAATAAACGCAATACTTCGCTAGACTAACTAGCTTTATCAAGCGTGCATCTATCCAGGTGAAATCGGATGTAGATGATAAGAAACTTTTGCAGCTCAATGTATATGTTGCACTTGAATTTAGCTGCCTTGAAAATAATACAGAATTTGGATGAAGTTCAAGATTTTTACAAAATTGGTAGTTGAAGTTAGCAACGTCCATTGGCCAATACTACAGGATAAAAAGGACGATGCTGTGTACTACATTATTCTTTATCTTTCCTGTATCTTTTCTCATCTTTTTCGTTAAGACCATCAGGTTTTAAAGTGTGGAGTTGGTGGATCCAAAAATTTTCTCTTCTCCTTCTCGCCGTGGTGTCCCACTCGGTGTTGACTTCTATGATTTGGAAAGTAACATTATCAAAAGAATGTTTCGTTGAACGAAGATGTCTTGTGAGAGGACAGTTTTTGTTGGTTTTGTACCATAAACGATGGTTATTGAGCCGAATATTAAATTTGTCCATTGTTTCTCCCACATACTGAATGCCACAAGTGTCACATGTTAATATATAAATTGAGTTCTCCGTTTTACAGTTGGAATTTGAGTAGATGGTATAATTTTGTTTAGTAACGGAGCTGATGAAAGAACTGCTTGTATTGGCAGCTTTACAACACAAGCAGTTCCTTCGATCATATTGTTTGTAGCAACCGGGAGATGGAGTAGGCTGCTTTGCTAATACAGATGTCACTAATTTGTCACGGATGTTTTTAGGTCTTCTGAAGGCTATGACTGGTGGTGAGGAAAATACTTTTTTAAGATTTGAATCATTTTCTATAATTTTCCAATGCTTCTGAACAATGGAAGACACATTTTTAAAATCAGGATGGTAAGTGAGTCCAAATCATAGAAGTCAACACCGAGTGGGACACCACGGCGAGAAGGAGAAGAGAAAATTTTTGGATCCACCAACTCCACACTTTAGAACCTGATGGTCTTAACGAAAAAGATGAGAAAAGATACAGGAAAGATAAAGAATAATTTAGTACACAGCATCGTCCTTTTTATCCTGTAATATTGGCCAATGGACGTTGCTAACTTCAACTACCAATTTTGTAAAAATCTTGAACTTCATCCAAATTCTGTATTATTTTCAAAGCAGCTAAATTCAAGTGCAACATATACATTGAGCTGCAAAAGTTTCTTATCATCTACATCCGATTTCACCTGGATAGATGCACGCTTGATAAAGCTGGTTAGTCTAGCAAAATATTGCGTTTATTTTCATTATTTTGTAAATATTTTAAACATTCTTATATTTACATACTAAATAGTGTGTTAAAATTACATTGTTAGTCAATCTATATATATATATATATATATATATATATATATATATATATATATATATATATATATATATATATATATACAATATTAACAAGTCTAAATTGAAAACAACGTTCAAACCTATGATTGCGTTGGATAAAAACCGCAATTTTTTTAAGTGTGCATGCAAAAAAAATTTCTTGTTAGAGGGGTCTAAATACAGCACAAACAACATTTTCCTTGAAACCAAAAAAGTGATAAAGTATATTTTAACAAAACGCATTTGACTAACAGGACGAACAACAAATGTTCTTAAACCCTGCTGACTTCCATTGGCGATTGCCAAATAAACGGATCACCGATGTAATAAATGGATCTTAATTATAAATTTAATACTCAACAGAAAACAATAAACTTGCGGAAAAGATGGTATACCGCAAACAAAATGTGCAAAGGTTTTTGTACACCATATCCGGATTTCGACAATGTCTCTTCAGCGATGTTAAGAATCGAAACGGTATTTAGAAAGCCATACAATTTACCTCAATTTAGGATAGACTCTTGAATTTTGAGGAGTCAAAATAGGATGAACGGATCATATAAACCCGAAGGCAAATGTACTACAAGCCCAAATGAAAAAATATAAACAAGTCTAAATTGAAAACAACGTTCAAACCTATTATTGCGTTGGATAAAAACCTCAATTTTTATACGTGTGCATGCAAAACAAATTTCTTGTTAGAGGGGTCTAAATACAGCACAAACAACATTTTCCTTAAGACCAAAAAAAGTGAAAAAAGTATATTTTAACAAAACGCATTTGACTTATATTATATACAATATTAATATATTTGTAATACATATTTTTTTCACAATTTGTCATTTATACCTTTACAAGATTTGCAATTGTGTCTTTCAAATTTATATGACTGCGAAAAGTGAACAGATGTCTTTATTAAATAAAAGTTTTGCCTCTTCGCCATCTTTTAATTCATCCCAGTGTTTTAAAATGTTTTTCTTAAAAAGTGTTATAAAACATCACTTTTGAGAATACTAAGGAAAGCGACTGTGACATATTTGGGCTTTACTTTCAATGTGTTACATTGTTTTGCTATCATATCCCGTATAACAGTTTCAATTTCATTTTCTTTATATCCCCTTTTAATTAGGCGCGTAGAAAATAACTCCTTTTGTGTATGCAAAGCTAGTGGATCGCTTGTGCTTAAAGCGAAGCATGTCATTTTAATTATACATTTGAAAGTATAGGATGAATGGTATGAGGTCGTCTCTAAGTTCTGATAATTTTCAGATTCTTTATGTGGAATCATTATCTTTCATCCGTCAAACATGTTTGACAGCATCTATCATTTCTGCATGGGACATAATCCTGATATTGTTGTAAATTTTTATATGTCAAAACTGACTATAGTACATGTAAGTAGTCGTCAGATTTTACCTGCAATTTTCAAGATTGATTATTTATAAACTATTTATAAACTATAAATAATCCCTTAAATATGTTTCCTGTTTTATACTGCTGAAAGCATGCATTTATACAAATACTTTCCTAATCTATCGAAATCAGTTCCAGCGAATGAGACAATTGATCTCCCTTGAATTCGGATATATTTATACCATGAGGATTCTGTTGAACCTTTTCTATACGCTCAGGATCCATTTTGTGTAATTTAAGGAGAAGATACAACCTTCCTAGTTTAAGATCTCTCTGCGCAGAAAGATATTTGAATGTGCTATCATCAGTAGATCATTCCCTATGCATTTCAAAGATAATACTATTGATTTTCAGGTTTGTCTCGTTTATATTTAGTTTTTCAATTTCCATGAAGTGTGTAGCACTACCAAGTTACCTCAGATGAGATGAGACAACTTTCTGCCAGACACCAAATGATATAGATGTTAGAAACTATAAGTCACCTACGGCCTTCAACAATGAGCAAAATTCACACCGCATAGAAACTATATAAGGCACTAGCATGACAAAATGTAAAACAATTCAAACAAAAAACCCATTTTGATTTCCAAAAGAAAATGTTGTTATTCACAACAACGCTGTGATAATTGTTACTTTATCATCAAAGTTGACAAAATACAACTAAACAGTTATGACTCATACTTTAGATAGATGATCATAATTATAAAACTATGAGGCCTTGTATGAATTTTTCATAAGGGGTAAGCCCCTATGGAAACAACTATCATCGAGTTGACTATTCTGAATGTCTATCAAAATAATGCTGGTAGTAATTGTATAATTGGAAATTATCAGAAAAAAACGATAATAATTACATATAAATACAAGAAATGTGTTTTATGAGTCAATGGGACAAGAGCCAAACAAATGAATACAAACCACGACATCTACACTCCGATGTAATTCGTATTTATTTTCAAAATACAGACAGAACCGTCGTACACAAGCATCGCACAAGTTGGCACTCCGAGGCAGGTGGGGAGCAAGAAGGTGAACTGTGGTTTATTTTTATCAATAGTACCGCTTAAGTCGACGCTAGGGGCCGTCTTGACCTTGTTGTAGGGTATGAATGATTCGTTCATTGTTGAAGACCCTACATCAACTGTCAAGATGAAGAACAGGACATTTACTCCATATCCTTTCATTTTCTATTTGTCTATAAAAACTCTTCAAGTATACCACTCTTTTGATTAGATATGCTAAACGCGCGTTTCGTCTACACAAGACTCGTCAATGACTCTCGAATCGAAACAGTTAGAAGGGCAAACCATTTGATAATGCCAGTTTTGGCAACATTACAATCATCGTGCTTTTGTTTT